ATGTAATCATATTGCAGCATTACTGTTTGCTGTTGAGGATTATGCCAAGACCTATAATCAACCCTCCTCCAGTAGCACTTCGTGTACATCAAAGCCGTATGAATGGAATAAACCACGTAGCAGAAAACTCAGTCCCAAGGAAATAAGTCAAATGAGACCAGTTAAACATCAGTATGGGAAAAAGCCAAGGCTACCAGCAGTACCTAGTTCTGGTGAGTACAATGCCTGCTCAGCAAAACAGAACTCGTTTTTGCTAAATCTCACCAATAGCCTCAAAACTGTAAATCCACACTGTGTCCTTTTTACTGTTGTTGAAAAAGAGGGCAAAGAAAACACAGAAATGTCATATGACATTTCATGTGATAACAATGTTGGGGCTTATGAAGAAGTTTCAACAACCAAAGTTTTGGAATCACCCACTACCCCAGAAGTTTTAATGTCACCGACTACTCCAAGCCCTATTGGTATTATTCCGAATAATCATATGTCAACAGTTATGACAATCAGTTGTCCCATCCAGAGCCCTTTGAAATATGCAACACGAATCCCACTCCAATCTTTGCAACAAAATATTTGTGTTCGTGAATCACAGATAGCACAAGTAGCAAGCAGTTCCACTTCAAAGTATATTCCAATAAAGCTTCCACTAATCGATGATTCTGTCAGAGAAATGGAACTTCCAGAAAATTTATCTGAGGATGCCAGACAATTTGTTAATGATTCAGTAAAGGTAGACCTTGAGAAAGCATTCAAAATTGAATCTTCCACTCGAAACCAGTCGAATAGTGTTGCATGGTACAACCATAGGCAGTATCGACTGACATCTTCTAATTTCTGAAAAGTACTTAAGAGAAAAAAGGAAGACTGTTCAAAACTTGTCAATGCAATGACCACTGATGCCACAAAGAATCTAAATGTTAGTTCACTTAGATATGGCTGAGAATGAGGATCCTGTGGCCAAATACTATGTGCAATACCAAGAGAGGCATGGTCATACTGGACTTCAGATATTTCCTTGTGGATTAGTTGTCAACCCAAAATACAGTTGGCTTGGTGCTTCCCCTGACAGGGTTGTCTTTGATCCCACCAGTAACCCGCCTTATGGATGTGTTGAGATAAAGTGCATAGAGAGTGGTAAGGGGATGACACCTCTACAAACATACCATGCTAAAAGAGAACCCAGTTCAGGCAAGAAAAAGCCTTTTTGTTTAATGAAACAGGAAGATAGCCTGATACTCGATCCAGATCATTGTTATTACCACCAAGTACAAGGCCAATGTGCAATATCAGGTCTGAAATGGAATGATTTTGTCCTGATGACTGATTTGGAGTTCGGAGACGAAGGAATACATGTTGAGAGAATCTATTTTAATAAAAACTGGCATGATTTGTCCTTAAGAAAGTTAACACATTTCTATTTTTCAAAAATCATGCCAACATTACTTCAAAGGTTTTGAGAACCAACAAATTTCTGTATATTTATTAACATGTTGTGCACTGTACTGTGCTACACTATATTATTAGGCTCCTATCAATGTTAAGTCCAGAGGGGGGGTGGGGTGGACATGTGGGGCATTTGATTTTGACAAGAAAATGTTATCAAATGCCCAACTGTGGGGCAATAAACATCAATCAAATGTAATAAAAAAGGTAGGGCTTGTGCATTTAAACATAGCTTTCCTGAATGTTTTGATAATTTAAAACTTGCCTAGACTATTTGCAGGAATTCAAATAGTGTCAAATGTCCCCACTACTACATGTACTTTTATTCAAATTCCTGGGGATAGGATTATAAATGAAGATCATATGCCCTCCCCTCTCTCCCCCCTCTGTGACTTACATTGATACAATAGGTGCATTAATTAAATAAGGAAATAAATACAATTAATACTATGTGAATGATAATTATGTGTGATACATTTATATAGGTACAGTATATACCCTTGCAAAAAATCCTATATTGTTTCCTATAAGAATTTCAATGGGAATTCCTATTAGATTTTGAAAGGCACAGTTCAGCCTTTTTAATGATGGTTTTTAAGGGGCATTGTAGCCCATTTAATTGAAGAAACTAACTATGAAAATCAATTAAGCATAATTCAATATCAGTGATTTCATTGTTTTTAAACATTGTTTAACTTTTTTAATGTTTTAAAAAAACATTCAGTACATTGATTTTGAATTATAATGATTAATTGATTTTCCTAGTTTTAATGCCCCTTAAAAACTATCATTCAAAAGGCTGAACTGCGCATTTAAAGAATTCCTATTGGGAGTTTATTCCAATTAGATTTTGGCTCATCCCTTTAGGAATTCCTACAGGATCCTATAGGATTTTTTTCATAAGGGATAAGTTATGTAACAAGTGGTGGCTCAAGGTTAGTGAGAGCAGCACAAATTAACACAATGTTATCTGCATTGTGCCACTCAGTAGCAGAGATGATTCCATGAAGAATACAGAAGTTTTTAATTTGTTCCATTTTTCGTTCAACATGTATTCGCACAGCTGCAATTCTCCTTGTTTGCTCAACCTCCTTTCTTGAAAGTTGTCGGTTTGAATCTCTCATTGGGGGCATGTTTAAAGTAACACCAAGTGGGTCTAGAAGATCTTCAATGGTAAACCCCTTATCTGCCATGACACTGCCTCCAGGTTCAAGCAGATTAAGCAAACCACTTTCCTTCACAATCTGTTTATCAGATGCATTTCCTCCCCAGAGCTGAGACAGGAATGTCACTGCTCCTTTAGGACTGATGCCTACAAGAAGCTTGAAAGTGTTGTGTGACTTGTAGCTGGAGTAAGTTATAGACTGGTTAACCAACGAGGATGGTGTTTCAATAAAGAATTCAGTACAATCTAATATTATTCGAGTATTTGGAAATTTGTTGAAACACTGAGGCATACTTGCAGCAATCATTTCTTTACTTGGCCATACAATTAAATCCTTTAGATGAACAGCAAGTACATTATGCCACGTAATAAGAACCCGAGAAACTGTACTTATTGAAACGCTGAACCGTTCTGCCAAATCTTGCTCCAGTAATCCAAGTCGTAGCCTCATGAAGACCATCAAATATTCATCAATCAACCTCATCTTTCGTTTGGGTCCAGGTTTCTGCCTATTTTCATCTTCTAAGTATGGTTTATCCTTAAGGGAATCCTTTCCAGTCCAGTAATTTAGTTTGCTAGCCACTTGCAGCAAATTGTTGAAAATCAACATGAATGTTCCAAAATTTACAAATCCTGTATAAAATCTAGTCTTTTGATCATCTCCTTTAAGATCTTCAGCAGTGAGTGAAGGCAGGTTCACTTGCACTCCAATCTCTTTCACTTGCACAGTTTCGGTTTGAACATGTTTGTCCACTGAAGCGGAACAAAACTGGACACCTGTATAAACATTAAAAGAAAAAACTATTACAATATGAATATACATGTAGGAAGCATTAGGAATTTTTAGCATATCAAAAGAACAACTAATATAATACTATTTATAATACTAATATTCCCGTAGTCTGCAAAAAGTAGTAGTCTAAAATGGGGCCATTCCATTTAAATTTCACACCCCCCATATGGACGAGATAAGTAAAGATTGAACCCCTAAGAAAAAAAGATCAAAGTGCCAACACTCTCACCCCCTCAGAAATTTACAAATTTTTGCCTTACCCCTCAGAAAAAACGCTAAGATCAAAGGATGCCGATGGGCATAACCCCTCAGAAATGGGTTTTTTGAACCCCCTCAGAAATTCTCGTCCATAGGGGGGTGTGGATATTAAATGGAATGGCCCATGTAGACAATGTAAAAAATGTAGACAATGTTTACAAAAAATGTAGATAATGTTTACCGTATGCCGTATGGCAAACTACACTATTAAAATATGTCACTAACCTGTGTCTCTCGTCGTGTCTCGCAAAATATCTCCAGATTCAGGCTTAAATGCCTCTTTTGGCAAGTAATCGTGAAAACAATGCTCAAAGTCCAAGGCGTTTAATTCAATATTTTCTGGTTCGCCGTATTGTACACCTGAATCAAAATTTAGTCGTCTTCGTACTGCTGTGTTCTCACAAGGTTCAGGTGCTGGCTTCGAGGGGAATAATGTTGGAATTAGACACCATGGTTTGGGCCCACTCTTGCCCACAAAGTGCAAGCTACACACTCGTGTTCCAGCTTTGGCAGTAAAATCATTTCGTACATTGCGAAGTTGTTGTATCCAGCTGCTCGGTTTATATTTTTCGTCTAAGGAAATTCTGTGTAGAGTAACCTTTTTTCCCTCGACTACCTTTCCACTGTAGCTTTTACAAAGCGGAACACAGCAATAAATAACTCCCCTTGGAACTGCTTCATTCTTAATAATCGTTGTTTGTTTTGACGGCGGAGTACTAAAAAGCTCCGACCTTGCTTCCGCCATATTGAAAATTGACGCCATGTACTTACCAGAGCCTCGCTTTCATGCGCGGCCACACGTATCCTGGGAAAGGTCAATTGTTGTTAGTCTTGTTTAAGGTAAATGCTTTTCCATATAAAAATAAAAATAAAAGCCATATTTTCCACGCGGAGGCAACTTTTACTTTGTGTAGCGCGGCGCCATGTTTGTTTTGTTTTGAAGCACTCTGTGACCGTTACTTCTTTAAACTAAATTTCTTTAAACTGATTGGTTGATTTAATCATCACAATGTTTTTCCACCAATCAGATCAGTTTGTTACAGATTTTTGCACTGTGATTACAGAAAATTGCACTGTGATTACAAAAAATTGCACTGTAATCAACAGAAAATTGCACTGCGATTACAGAAAATTGCACTGTTGTTTGGGATTAACTGCACTGAAATCAACCAATCACAGTCGAGTAATATCTTTATGTATATTATTAATGAATATAAACTATAGAGTACGTTTCAATTCAAAAAAGTTCGAAAGATGCAAAATTTGGGCAATGTTCACATCTGTGGCTCCCCCTTTGTTATCCGAGCAGAACTGATACCCAGAACGGACTTCATATGGTCTTTAAATTTTTAGCTGCATGTGTGACGAATAGTCACTCCGATAACTCCATACTCATCACTCTATAACTTCTAGACAAATGTTTTTTGTTTCAATTATTTTATTTTATTTATATTGTCGTTTACAAGGTGTGGTTGCCTAATGCATGCACCCATGCGAGGCTCGCAAAACTTGTAATACAGGTGCTGGACAACTTATAGCTGGCTTGGCATAAGGTTAACTTTTTGAAGAACCGTATATCCTTGACGCAGTATCAGCCAGGAATAGTACGTAATTATTAAAGGGGATATTTGGAGGGGCCTTCGACTAAAAAAAAATCGTAACAAGAAGGGGTGGTCAGTACCAAAAATTTAAAGTGCAATCATTGAAAATTCACAGGTTCGTAAATTAAACGAACTTCCGAATAACAAACAGAACTTACATTTTAAAGAGACTTGTGGTATTCAAGTTTAACGCGATATCATATGTTTTGAATGTCTTTAGATGACTCCCAGGCGGCCCAGATGTGTATCAGTATAATAGTAAATATATAAATTATAAAATATACTACACAGTAAAATTTGTCATAATTTTATATTTTAAAATTATATTTGATTGTATGTGATCGTCTTTTCTTTCTGGGCGACTTTACACTCTATGCCTGTGACTGTCATCAAGGTGATGGGAATGAAAGCAAAGGCTAACGATTCCCGTTCTCAAACCGGCGGACACGAACACTTCAACTCAAAAAATATCCCCTTTAAATTGCTTTGTTCTCGGTAAAAATTTGTCGGCGTATAGAATAAACACCCATCTTCGAACATGCAAGGCAATTGTAACATGTCCTATAATTTTTGGAATGGATTTTTAGCAAAATGTTCCTCCCCCCCTGACAATCCAAACGGTAAAGAATGCTAGGTGGCCAAGCAGGCGGGGTAGTAATTATCGGGCTTTCTAGGTTCCATCGACTTTGGGTTTCGAAACATTTAATTTGCTAAAAATCCATTCCAAAAATTACAGGACATGTTAAAATTGCCTTGTATGTTCGAAGGTAAAAAAAGTCCATTGCAAAAATTACAGGACATGTTAAAGTTGCCTTGTATGTTCGTGTTTATTCTATACGCTGGCGAATTTTTACCGAGAACAAAGTAATTTAAAGAGGATATTTTCCGAGTTAAAGTGTTCGTGTGTCCGGTTTGAGAACGGGAATCGTTAGCCTTTGCTTTCATTCCTATCAGTATCACCTTGATGACAGTCGCAGGCATAGAGTGTGAAGTCGCCCAGAAATAAAAGACGATCACGTACAATCAAAGCAGGCAAGTAAATATAATTTTAAAATATAAAATTCATTACAAATTTTACTGTGTAGTATATTCTATACTTTATATATTTACTATATAGGCCTACTGATACACGTCTGGGCCGCCTGCGGACGACTAAAACGCTAAATTATGTAACTATAAGTATTACAACTTATTGAGAATGCAGTTAAGATTATATCGCAACATTATTAAGTTAAGCTTGATACAATTAATGACATAGACATAGCCTATACTTCCTAATGTGCAACATGCAAACACTTCGCGCATGGGAAGTGTATGAGCCATATGTAAAATTATTCGGTGCAAAAGGGGACCGCGAAAAATTTATCAAGAGTTGTAAAATATATTCTGTCCCACCCTAATAGTCCATTAATAATGACTGCTCTCTTAAGGTCCACATCGCAGGCCACAAGTGAAGATGCATTTTCAATTTAATTTTAAACACAGTAGGATACCTATTCGTTCGCATTTAATATCATTTCATGGTGGAATTTTCGTTTATAATTAAATTGAAAATGGAATCTAATTTTTCACACTTATTGACATATGTTTTCTTTAATACACCTGGAATTTATTCAGTCGAACAAAACATACTAAAGCTTTAGCGGAAAGGGCCTTTTCTCCACTTCGACGGTCGAAAGTTACAAAACCAGATGCGTAATGAGTAATTCTGTGCAGTTGAATGTGAAAACGATGAACTCCATGGAGTCCATGCATGCATGTATATGAACATATACATGATTAAATTTACCCGTCCTAAAATGCTGATTTTCCCTCGCGCCTATTTAGAATAATATGATTCGAATTTCTTTATATTGTTTAAAATTAATTGCATTAGTACTGCAATAAACAGGATCCGGATGATCAGAAAGATACAGTTAAATTTAACTAGATTTAGTGATGTGCGAAAGTTAACGACTCAAAATCGTGTATTAATTTTAGAGTTAATTACTCTTTAATTAACTAGAAAATAATGATTAAAAAGTACTTTTTAAGAGTTTTATTCCCGAGGCAGGCATTTACTCCAAAAAATATACTTTGTATTAACATCTTTCAGAATTTTGAAGACATTACTCACCTATTCTCTGTAATAATTCGCGTGGGATTTTTTATTGTTTAAAATCAGCCCTGACGCTTTAAAATATATTCTGTCCCTTCAATAAAATAAGCAACTGCTACGCAGGCTATAGCCTATATATGTTCATGTCTTGTTATGTACTTGGACTATGTCACGTGCCTGTCCTTGTCATAGGAGTTAATTCTCTCGCTGTATAAACTTGTTATTAGTATTTACATAGTAAACTATATTTACATGTATTCTGTTGGAAAGGTGCCTTGCATGGATAGCGCAAATTATTTACATTCCGTTCGCACCTCTTCCATTTGGGTAATATTTTTTCTGTGCATGCATAGTATTAGTACGTCTTTTGTAAATAATTATAATTATAATATATTATATTTACCCAATAAAGTATTTAAACATTTAAATGTCGCTATGCAGTCTTGTTGATAAAGTGGGTTGACGCGCGTTTCACATGCAGTTGAGCAAGATTATTATTTAGCATTATTATTCTTCGTTTTTCGTAGCGCAAATTGCGTTACTCATCAAAACGTCGAAATATATCTGATTTAATCTATGCCAATGGAATTAACTATTAATCTACTATCTAACTATTAAATTACTTTACTAACCTCTCTTTTTCAACATAAAGAAACCAGACAACTTTTCGGCATTATTAACTGAATAGAGAAATACAACAATAAAAACAAACTTCGCGTAAAAATTTATAAAGAGTGACATTCTGTTCGATTGCGCATCGGTTATCTGTCGTTGTTGGTTTGTCTTCTTGTGTTTAAACATTGGTGTGTACTTAACAAACGAACGACAATGTTGTTTAAAATGTTGAAAGACCTTTCACTTGTAACTTTTGGGCAAAATAGAACGAAATCGTAAAATTTTAAAATCTTGGAGGTTCGAGTAACTTTGTCGTCTTAGCGACTCTGGTGTTCTCCGATCCAAACAGAGTTTCTAACGCTTTTCGTTACGAGTATAGCATAATTGATGCGATTTCAGCCAATCAGCGTTGGAAGAATGACGTACCTGTACACGTTGTCATTGACCGCGTACCCTGCGGTGTAGAGGTTGGGGACGAGGCGTAGAACCGGGGAACGTTTTTACGCGAATTCGTGGGAATATATTATATTGCATTTAGGGTTTATTTCCACTCAATTAAAATTTATATTGCATGCACCTGTAAGTTCATGATTACACAGAAGAGAAAAATAAATATCGCATTTGTGTTGGATTATATTTATTTTCTACTAAGGGAATTTTATTTGTGAATAATTATCTGCGCCATGATGGGGTTACATAGATGTCATAATAAATAACAAGAACACCTCATTACAGTAAACATTCTCTTATTTTACTTATCTCTCTATGACTTTTTTGTTCCAAAGTAGCGCACAACACAATCTCCCCCACGACAGAGAGACGAAATAGGGCCCGAAAAAATCTCGCCCAAATGTCATAACATTTAGGAGAGATTTTTCGGGCCCTATTTCGTCTCTCCGTCGTGGGAATAATATGATGGAATATTGAATAATTTATATAATACACATAGAAGACAACGGTGCCCCATAACCTTGTACAAGTCCAATGCAATTCTCCCAAGGAAATAGCGCCTGAAAAATCTCTCCCAAATGTTATGTCTAGTCAATAACCCTTAGAACCAATTAATCGTCACTTTGTGCCATCAATTTTACTATCTAATGTAATGTTTCTTGTGACAAAGGACGATGAGCTGGCTCTAGTTGTAGGAAATCACAATCCTGATATTATTTGTATCACAGGAACTTGGTTAAAAATCCAAATACCGGATGATGTCGTCCAAATTCATAATTACACTTTGCTACGACGAGATAGGAAAGAAAGAGAACATGGTGGAGTTTGTCTGTATATAAAAATTAGCTACTGTATTAGCGTTCTTGATGTCCCAAATGAACATGAATGTGAAGTCTTGTGGGCTGTAATTAACTCTCGACGCCTCCCAAGAGGATATGCTAAACTCGTTATAGGAGTATTGTACTATCCACCCGGTGCTAATAAATCACTTATGCTGGAACACCTAGCCTGCAATCATCCTTGGAGATAATGGAAACTAAACACCCAAACTGCGGAATACTTTCAACTGGTGACTTTAATAAATTGCCTACTCAGCAGCTAACTCGACATTTCCATCTTAAGCAAATTGATTTTCCAACAAGGGGGTCGAGTAAACTGGATTTAATTCTGGCCAATCTTGCCGACTTCTACGACTAACCATATAGTATACCACCGTTTGGACTGTCAGATCACCTAACTATCCTTGCATTTCCCAATATTCGAACTAAAGAGACGCGCAGTAAAAATGTATTTTATGTTCGCGACAAAAGACTCCGTAGTATAAGGCGTGTAGGGAAATTTCTTTCTGAAGTCCCATGGGATTTTATGGTATCCTCCAACCGATCATGTGAACAAAACTTAAATTAATAATTTTACTTGTATTATCAACTACGCTTTGGATACCTTAACACCTTTGAAAGCTGTAGTAACAAACCACAACGATCGACCATGGATGAATAATAACTTGAGAACCCTTATTAATAAAAAGCAAAAAGTTTTTGCCCAAGGTAACCAAACGCTTTACAAAATGTTACGAAACAAAGTCAATCGTTCCAGAAAAAGGTGTCGCAAGTTGTATTATGAAAACAAGGTCAAAGATATGAAGCATGCTAAACCAAAGGACTGGTGGAGGGAAGTGGAACGGTTTTATGGTCTTTCCATGGGAACACCTGATAATATTTTTGAAAACCTAGAACAGGATACACAAGATCCCACTGTTCTTAGTAATCTGATAAATTACACGTTTTTTGAACCCATGCTTAATTATCCTCCTTTAAACGATAATGTAGCTGTTATATCTGAAAACGATACCCCATTGTTGTTTCTGTCGAAGAAGTGTTGTCTCATCTACAGCGTATCGGATCGGGTAAATCAAGTGGCCCCGATAATCTACCGAATTGGATGTTGAAATCGTTTGCAGATCTACTTGCCGAACCTGTTACTGTGATATTGAATGCGTCTTTCCGGGAGGAACGGCTACCCCCGGTGTGGAAGCTAGCAAAAGTATGTCCCATTCCCAAAAATAAGATTGTATTGGACGTTAATAAAGATCTGCGGCCTACTGTATATCACTCACATCATCATTGTGCAAAATCGCTTAGGAAATTGTCATCTCATATGATCTAAAGTCTTCAATAATGTCATGTATAGATCCCAATCAATATGGGTTTTTTTCTGGCTCCGGTACTACATTGGCCCTAATATCCTTAATTCATCGTTGGACAGAAACGGTGAGGGGCGGAACCGTACGAGCGCTGCTTACGGATTATCGGAAGGCATTTGATTTAATAGACCATAACATTCTTTGCCAGGAACTGCAGCGAATTGGTATTAAACCATCGGTGTTTAATTGGATAGTAGATTTCCTACGTGCACGATCACAAAGAGTAATTAAAAGTTGCACTCGGACTGTTTTTCCGATTGGAAGCCTATAAATGCTGGAGTTCCTCGGGGAACCAAATTGGGTCTATGGCTATTTCTCCTTATGATTAACGATCTTTCGATCCCATCTGATGATTTTGAAGGTGATATGTTTAAATACGCAGACGACACCATGCAATTCATGTTTCTGAATATGTATTTAATCAAGAGTTTACAAGTTACTTGCAAGATGTTACTAATTGTATTGTGATTGGTCCACTTACAATAAATTTGAACTCCACCCGACAAAATGCAAGGAGATTGTGATTAACTCTCAACGTAATGAACCTGTTTTCCCGCCGATAAACATAAACAGGATTAACGTAGAGCGTGTTGAAAAAGCAATAATTCTCGGTTTATTGATCACTCAAGACAAAAAGTGGAATGTCCATGTTGATAAGATAACAACTAAAGCAGCGAAGCGACTGTATCTGATGAAACAACTAAAGAGATCGGGTCTTAGTGACAATGATTTAAAATGTTTCTACATTGCTTCTATAAGATCTATCCTTGAATAAGCATGTCAAGTATTTCATTACGGTCTCCCGGAATATCTTTCAGACCAAATATAGAGCGGATTCAGAAGAGAGCTTTGCGCATCATATGCCCGGACTTGTCGTATTCAGAAGCCATTCAAGAATTAGATATGGAAATTTTGAAGACAAGAAGGAAAGGATTATGTACTAAATTCTTCAAATCAATAGTGAATGACAAACATCATAAAATTCACCATCTCTGACCTACAAAACATTCAAATACTTACAACTTAAGAAATCCAAACTTTTTTAATATTCCAAGGTGTAATACAAATAGATTTTAAAACACTTACATTATATCAAGTCTCCCAGAACTAGTCTATTTATAGCTTTTTTATTCTACATTTATAATAGTTTTACCTCAGTATTTTTTATCCTCAGTAAGATCTAATTGTAAAGTTATATATTTTTAAATATAATTATTGTAAAAATCATGTAATTCAGCCTCCTGGCTGCGAGATGATTTGATTTTAATAAACCGTTTAATAACCGTTTAATATTGACGGAGATAAGCATAAAGCATCATAAAGATATTCTAATCTTCGCGCCTCGTGAGTTTTTGTCGCGCCTTTTATACGCGTCTTTTTGTTACGTCATTATTCCGCTTTACAATTTCGAAAAATTAATCCGATCACCATTAACATTTTCCAGTTTTATTAACATTCTCACAAATCCCAGTTCTCCATCTTCATTTAAGCAAATGTTTAAATTCTTATCTTCTATTCGACAACGGGCTCTGACTAGAGCTTGCGCATATGACCTTCAACCCCCCTTCCCGCGTACTGACTCTGGCAAACGAACATTTCTGTACAGTGCTTCCACTCTTTTTAATTGTTTAGATAGCGATTGTAAGCAACTTGCTGCTTCGCCATCTTGCTCTTCATATATACTAACGCCAAACAAAGAATTCGTAAAATCTTTCTTAACAAGTTTAACCTTACTAACCATATCGAAGATCTATTTTGTATAAATTGTAAATATTTACTAGGCCTAAATTGTAATTGTATTCATTACTAATTATTTTTTTCTCATATGTAAATAGTCGTAATCTTTAATACTTTTTATATGCCTGAAAATATCAAAATAGTGCGAGGGCCGTATGTTAGAGAACTTTTATGGTTAATACGTTTTCCCTCATGAAATAAAGTTTCTATTAATTCTATTCTATTTTCCCGATTGTTTGGTTACTAGTCTATTTTAACATATATTTTCCAAAAGTTTAGCTGCTTCTATTCAGCTTTTGTTACTGAGGTTATTTTTTGAATTTCTTACGTGAAACAATCTCATTTTGTTATTTTTGTCATTGGTTTCTGAATATTTCTTTCTGGACTAATTTGTGTAGTTTATTTATGACCAAGTAGGTACGAAGGAAATCAGTCATTTACCATTCCTCTTATTCCATAATAATGCAATTTATTTTAAAGAATGGAATAATTTACCGAATCAAATGCTTTTTGTAGGTCAATAAAAATACAACATGTAGGCCATATACTGTATATTAGCCATGTTTGATTGGACTTGATTAGTAGTATAGGAACTGCCGGTTCTAGACCACTAGTTCTTTTTCTAGACCACTAGTTTTTTTCTGGACCACTAGTTTTTTACCTTTAGTAAAAATTAATTATTTATTTTTATTATATTAAAATTAATCATTTATTTTTATTATATTAAAATTAATGGTCCCACACCTCAACAAGTGGGTTCCCGAGACTTCAGCAGTTCCATGGTCCATTTAATTGGAATGTGAAACTGCTATTCTTGTTTTTCATTTAACTTATCTCAAAGCTTCGGGATCACCTTACCAGTCCAGCTGAGACTCTAATACGATTATCCTAAGTGCAATCCTACACTTTTCCAATATTGTTCAATTTTCCTATTCTAAAGCCTCTTCGGCAACTTTTAAAATACCCTTGAGGTAACACACACCCTTCTATAAAAACTTCCCAATCAACTCTAGAACAACTACTTTCCGTAGTCCCTTACCTTGTTTTCTAGAGTTTTTATGTAAACTTGCGTTATCAACGGTAGTATGTCCTCATTATTTCTAGCCCATAGTAGATCCGTTAGCGTCCTCCGTAAAGGATGTAGTTTTTTGCACTTTTTCCTTAACCTTTCCATTATCATACGATTTGCTTCCTCTTGGGTAAATTCTGTTGGTAGTCTTCCAACTCTTATCAGTTCGTTTACAGGTTTGACTTTTCTTTCAACCTTTACTTTTTAGTTGTTAGGTAGTGTCCGTAAGCATAACTGGTAATTCCATCCTTCAGTAGATATCTTTTGTCATCGAAGCAACTTAGGGTAACCTTTCTCATTTTGTAAGTTCCAATTGTATGCTTTTTGCTCCGGATTATATTTATTTTTTACTAAGGGAATTTTATTTGTGAATAATTATCTGCGCTATGATGGGGTTACATAGATGTCATAATAAATAACAATAACACCTCATTACAGTAAACATTCTCTTATTTTACTATATCTCTATATGACTTTTTTGTTCCAAAGTAGCGCACAACACAATCTCCCCCACGACAGAGAGACGAAAAAGGGCCCGAAAAAATCTCGCCCAAATGTCATAACATTTAGGAGAGATTTTTCGGGCCCTATTTCGTCTCTCCGTCGTGGGAATAATCAGTGGCGGCGCCAAGGGGGGGGGGGCAGGGGGGCAAATACCCCCCCAAAATTATTTTTTGTCCCCCCATTTTGCCCCCCCTCAAAAAAAATTATTAGTCACTAAGAGCGACTAAAGGCTACACAAGCGTTCTGTCGTTATCGGAAAATGTATGGCTTATAAGTTGTCATTACTCATTAGTGATGATGTGCATATACATGAAACTGTTTTTTACAGTTTCAATATTAGTTTGTAAATCTCTGAATGGTAAAACTTGCCAATACTCCAATAATACGTTTCAAAAAAAGACAAAAAAGCTTTAGTTTTGCAGAGTTAAATTCTCAAACGTGTAGGCAATAATAAGATGAAAGTATCACGAAATTATTTGAATAAACCACATCGCATATATGGGGGGCGAATGTCCTAAAGAGGGGCGATATTCCTAGGGTATTCGCCCCACCCCCCTGGGAGGCGATATTCCTAGGATATTCGCCCCCGGGGGCGATATTCCTAGGAATATCGCCACGTTTTGAGGGGGGGGGATTTCCTGGGGGGCGACCTTTTTAAAAATTCTATCTTGCCCCCCCAAAATTTGAGTTTGCCCCTCAAATGCCCCCCCAAATTTGGAAGCCTGGCGTCGCCACTGGGAATAATATGATGGAATATTGAATAATTTATATAATACACATAGAAGACAACGGTGCCCCATAACCTTGTACAAGTACAATGCAATTCTCCCAAGGAAATAGCGCCTGAAAAATCTCTCCCAAATGTTATGTCTAGTCAATAACCCTTAGAACCAATTAATCGTCACTTTGTGCCATCAATTTTACTATCTAATGTAATGTTTCTTGAGACAAAGGACGATGAGCTGGCGCTAGTTGTAGGAAATCACAATCCTGATATTATTTGTATCACAGAAACTTGGTTAAAAATCCAAATACCGGATGATGTCGTCCAAATTCATAATTACACTTTGCTACGACGAGATAGGAAAGAAAGAGAACATGGTGGAGTTTGTCTGTATATAAAAATTAGCTACTGTATTAGCGTTCTTGATGTCCCAAATGAACATGAATGTGAAGTCTTGTGGGCTGTAATTAACTCTCGACGCCTCCCAAGAGGATATGCTAAACTCGTTATAGGAGTATTGCACTATCCACCCGGTGCTAATAAATCACTTATGCTGGAACACCAAGTCTGCAATCATCCTTGGTGATTGTATTCATGTTGTGTCTCATCCTACCTTTCGTGTTAATTACGTTCTTGAAGTTCTCGTGAGTGATCTTGTTTCTGATAACATACTTTTTAACTCCCTTAGCAGTCATTCCACCTCCACCGTTTTCCTTAACATAGGAGTACATCTTTGCCATTAGCCCAACGAACTCAATTATGGGTACTCCTTCAGCTTCGTCCTTAAACTTACCTATAACCTTCTT